TGTTTACAACACTCCTGCTACCCCTTGATCTATCTGGTTGCCATCCACGTTACACATTAACTTTTAAGTTATTTTAAGCTGGTGCATGTCAAATTCTGGTGTAGGAGGTCTTTCTTGACCATTGAAAGTGGTCAAGAATTGCATGTTGTATCATTTTATTTTTAGTTTAATGAATTTTATTATCAATGATATTTTTATTCTCAATGTATAATTAATTTAGATAAATGCAATGAATAGCCACAGACTGAGCGAAAACTGTAGTGTCTCACCTATTTCATTCGCTAGTGAGAGCACAGCTTTAACTCCATATATTCCTAATACCGTGGTTGGGGTTAATCAATGCTCTTTTAACTAGGATTCAAAATATTTATTTTTCTTTTCAAAATATTCATTCAGAATTCAAAATATTTATTATCACTAGTAAATACCACCTCATGTCACTATTTACAAGATATATACTATAAGAAAAGAGCTCCAGAAGACCTTAGATACCCAAATGAATACTGAATTAATCAGTGGGTTGATATTAAAAATAATATATGATTTTACTTGCTACAATCAATACAGAGCTAATTAACCTGTTAGTGCCCAGCGTCATATGTATAGGACAGTTTCCTTTTTCAAAAACATATATTGTGGTAGGACAATTGTTTCAATTTTGTCTAGGAGAATTAAAAGTTTCCCTTCCACCATAATTTATTAGTGATTTAAGTTTCTATCACTAGAACTATAAGCTGTAGGGACATTTCGAACTGAAATGGTAACAAACAGTTGATATCAGCCATTTAGTTGAATAACATATTATACCACTTTTTTCATAAAGCCACTTTTTGCACCATTTCAATATAAAAAGTTGGTATAAAACGGGTTAAGAAGACGCCATACCGCGGAAGAAAATCTTCGTCGCAAATTCTCTTCTTCCTTCATTACTAATTTAAAATTTAGAGTGCAGAAAAATTGAGTTCGGACGAATATAGTGTAAGCCGTGAAGCTTCAAATACTGAAAAGAAACTTTTAAAATGCACAAATGAAAATGAATGATGAGATGATAACTTAAGATTACGCAACGGAGAAGTTCTTTTCTCATAATTTGTTTGCATTTCAATATTTTGAAGTATTTTTTTCAGAAACTGAATGACAAACTCTAGGTTTGACTGAACTTACCTTTTCTTTCTTTTAAATTTGTAATAAAGTAAAAGAGAATTTCCGACGAAAATTTTCTTCCGCGGTATGGCATCCTTTTAACTAAGACAAAAAAATCTTATTTCATACACTTTAGAGGATTTAACTTCTCTGGACAGAAATTATTTTTCTTCATGGGCACCATTCTGTTAATACCAATGACGCAAGGCATATAAATAGATGAGCAAACTCAATCCTTGTGCACGATCATCCAGATCAAAATCCACCTTAACCCGGGTATTTGAAAAGCTAACTTCAACCAGGGTTACTTGACAAAGGTTGCGTTTATTAACATATATAAGTGCTTATTTTGCATATAATTCGAAATTGGAACATTACGATTAATTTTAATATCGTTTTGGAGGAAATTAAGCCTCGCTTATCTTATTTATTTTTATTCCTACTTGTAACCGGACACAGCATTAAATTTAAAGATAAGAATTCTGATTAAATCTGAAGTGAAAAAGAGTGATTCGTTATTCGAACATTTTTAGCGTTTTCGGCAACAATCCAAGCTGGAAGTCCCTCATCCGTTACTTTAGACGAAATAGTTGAGGGCCCCCGTGAACTAACTTCCTTCAGCATAAAACTACCGGTACGACCATTACTTGTCAACCGAACTTTCACTTCTGTTTTAATTCCTTTCTAGCCCCCCTTTTTACCATTTTTTTCCGACCCCATCCCTACAAGTTACCTCTAAGCTGAGACGAAGATCATGAAAAAAGGGTCTCTTTTTAAAAATAGAAACTTTTCCATTGCCTTCGCTTGTTTGTGTCATTTTCAACTCTCTGTCTCTAAGTTTTTGTGGTAAAATGTTTTTGAATGCAGATGAAGTGATTTAGACGGTAAAGCTAAGTGTTGACTTTAACGGAGATATATATAAGTAACCGAGCTAAAACTTGCGGTTAAATTGTATTTATGATGAGAGATACGCATCATTTTTGTAACTTAATGTGTCGCTTTTAACTACGTCTTTTCAAATTGACAACAAAAAATGGAATTTTGTCCTAACATCAACAACGGAAGGTTTATAAATATCTATATATAAACATCAAAATACTTAAGTATCTAATTCATTGCATATCATTAGGTAACTATTTGTTTGCTTTAGCCCTGTTAAGAGTTTTCTTAACAGTTTCGAATTTTGAAAGAAGAATAAGTGTTTACGAACTAATCTGGAAACCTTTTCAAATAAGTATATATTCTAAAATACAAAAGTTCCCATTCCTTGTAAGGGATTTAAAAAAATTATAAATAAATCTGTATAATTGTAATTAATATTAAGTAATCATGAAAACTAAAAAGGTGGGAAATTAAGGAAATTAAAATAATTGTAATATTTTGGGGTATTATTTGTTCTTTCTGGTGGCTTTAATTTATAAAAAAAATTAGAAAAGGAGATCAACTTAACCACAAAAAAAAGCTTACTTTTAAAATAAGTATCATTTGGCTAAGAAAATAATGATATTAATCGCAACCACTACTTTATGGTCAATATTAACTACAATCAAGCAATTTTTGGAGAAAAAAAATACGAAACTTGTTTATTTAGAATGATCTTTTAAATTTTACTTGATTGAAAAAAACTTCATTGGTTTTTAAAAAAAAATATGAAGATGGAAATAAAAGTCGACTTGTCTCAAGTGCTCGAAAATAGGCGCCATTCTCTAGACTTGACAGACTTTTAATTTGCATCTTCATTTTTTTTAAACCAATGAAAATTTTTAATCAAGTATATCTTACCACTCAAATTTCTTGGGATTATTTATTTAACTCTTTCAGTTATTTGGAGTTACAGAAACACGTTTCAAATGCTTTACTATAAACAAAATAAGTACGTTGTTTCAGAATTGTTTCAAATTATTAATTCGGAGATCTCACCACATATTAAATTTAACTATATACTTACATGATATCATTGATCAGAAGTAAATAATTATTAAAGAACGTGCAATGAACTCGAAACTCACTAGATCTCTTGAAACTTGCAGTTCAAATAGATCTATAAGCTGTAGCAAAGATCATTGATGTAATTTAATTTTAAAAATATAATAATAATTTTAAGAAAATAATAGTAACATTAATTTGAAAAAGATATTAATAATAGAATCGCCCTTTAGCAGTGCGGTGTAGTAAATTACGGTGAAGCTAAGAAAAAATTGCATTTTTCAAGTCTCTCCTGAAAGAACAAACTAAAAGTTTCGAAAGATTTTTAGGATCAGATGCTAAAATTGACTCTTGCTGTCCTAAGTCCTTGCCCATCACAAACGGTTCTGAAATTATAAGAGACACACAGACCTTCCGTTTCATTGTTACAATTTTGCACAATTTAGGTGTGTTAACTGTATTTAAAAAAAAGTATTTTGAAGCATTCTGATTTTGCAAAAATACCAGATGGACAACCCCACTTCGTGGTGGCCGTGCTCATAAAATCGGGATATTGCTTTTCAGAACGCATTGCTTATTTATTGAATACTGAATTATTTTAGTCTAGTTTTTTATTAATAGTAGTACTTTTTTCAAAACTGCTTTTTAAAATTTTCAATATATACGACATACCGTAGCCGTGGTGGCTCAGGGGATAGAGCTCTCGCCTGCCAATGAGCTGACCTCGATTCGTATCCCAGCGTTGGCTTTTCAATACGAATTCCGTACCCGGCTTGCGTCGACTACAGTGCTGATGTAAATTATCCTCAGTAGATCAGGGGTTAGCCCTTTGCCGTCAGGCTAACCGTGAGATGTTTTCATGGTTTTCCTCTCCATATAAAGCAAATGCGGGTTAATTCATCAAAAAGTTCTCCACGCAGGCAAATTTCTCCCAGTACTTGATCCAGAAGTTCCCTTGTCTTCAGGATTAGGTTGAAAATTACAAGGCTACGGAGTTGAGCATTGCTAGTCGTATACTCAAGTCGACTGTTGAACAACGGTTATAAGGTAAAATATATACATACCGTGAAATCTTTGATTTCTATGCATTTCATGCATAATTATACTTTGATTTCATTCAATTCCCCATATGCGAAATTGTAAATTTCAGTGATTCAAGATACAATAGTGTTTATTTCTTGAAAGTATCATAAACTCGTAAAATATATAAAAATAAAAGAACAGAGTAAAAAGGTTTTTTGTAAAAAAAAATTTTAAAAAAGCATGGTATGGTAAATAAAAATGGAGGTAGTGTTCCAGGCTTAAAACTTCAGTTGGATTTATGAACTACATCATTATATCAAAACTCAGCTATCCTGAAAATTTAAAAAAAAAATTCCCTTTTATCATTGTTGAAAATTAGAGAGAAAGAAAACACAACGCAGACAAAACTTAATAACACCAGAACTTAAAGAGAACTTAATTCCGATAAATTAAAAATAACTTACTGTTGCCAATACATATAACTTACTTTCTTCCAATAGGAAAAGGTTAGTTTTTGTACTTCTGTTTAGTATAACTTAAATTCAAATCTCTTTTATAGTTAGTGCTAGAGTGAAAATAATTTTAAATTAACTTATTTTATTTCTAAATCTTCATAAAAGTTATAAGCTATTAACTTTTAATTAGGCAGCTTTTGATCATTAAACTGTCTTAATTACAATTTGTTGCTTCAGGATTAAGCAGATTTTGTTTAAACCATACTGTAAATCAATTCAAATTGTTTTGTACAGCTTGATTTTTTAAATTAAATGATCTTAGCACAGATTGCTTGATGACCTCTTATATACTTACTAGCACTTATTTGATAATTAATAAGTGCTAATTGATCTAGCTCAAATACATGTATTTGAGTTTTATAAATAATTTTTCTTTGTTTTTCTTTTTTGTAGTCCTCATTATCCGCACTACCTGTATCAATCACCATATTTGCCAACTCCAGGATTGATCTTGTCTAATCCCACTGCAGCTCATGCTCCTTTGTCTCCTGCAGCCGCAGCAGCTGGAAGTCCACTTTACACTGAGTACGCTGCAGCTTATCCAGCACAATTCGCTAATGGACTAGAGCTTGGATTTGCACCGTTTGCCGCTGCACCCTTGGCCACCACATCAGCCGCTCATCACCTTCACACTAATGGCGGTGGATCAGCCCCTGCGCCTATTCCATCCTACCTGACTCCTACAGCTCACTCAGCAGCAGCTTATGCTTACGCTTTGCAAGCACCACCACACCACCAACAGATTCCTACTGGGGCACCAGCTCATTTTTCAGTGCCATACCCAGCTCAACCTCAAGACGCCAGAATGCAGTAACAAGTTTAACAGAGTATGGGTGCATATAGTGTTTGATGATTAAAAGACATAAACAACTAGATTGGAGCGTACATAGATGGATGGCCGATTCACTGTCTAATTTGTATAGGCTATGCCATTAAAGTTAGGGCTATAAGAAAGCCAACTCCAGTTCTATGCTAATTTCATGGCTGATTAACTATCTAATTTATATAAGATGTACAATTAAGAGCTAGTTAGGAGAGAACGAAGAAATTCCCGACCATGCTGAATTCGCTTGAGCTTATTGCAATAAATCTTTCATACGGCTATATATAATAAGCCTTATGAAAGATTTATTGCAATTATTATACTTTGAAATTTAGACTTCTCTGAGCTTATTGGAAACTATCTAAAATAAATCATATTATATTGAGCAATGAATGCTATATTTTCTAGTTAGTCTAAAGTTATTTGAGCTCACTGTAATAAGCCTGAAGTGTGTCGGACTGATTTCAAAATACTAGAGACTATTACTATTGCAATTGGCCTTGGCACATTGCAACTGGCCGGGGGCTCTTTCTCAAGAGCTGGATTATTTTATTAGCCTATAACACTGTATTTTGTTTCTGCGGACACAATCACAAAGGCATGATTTCAGCTGCAGTAAATTTGAAGGGATTTCAAACCATTTTTAACTAAATTCTTAGTGTTAAAATTTTAAATATTTTAACCGTTGAAATGCATCTTAAGGTTGAAAGAATTATAATAAGTTTTAATAATTGATGGGACAATGGACTTTTAAAATAGATATTTTGATTCTAAAAACCTACTACTAAGCCTTATTACGTATGCAAGATACTTCAATTCGATACCAAATTTCCCTTTTCTAAATATTTAGTCACAAATAAGGTTTAGAACATATGACTTGAAAAGAAGATATTTAAGAAAAAGAAGATTAAAGAAGAAATAATTAAATTTTTATTTTGTGTTTAAAAATTTAAATCATATCATGTAACATTGTTTTGACCTTATTTGCGACTAAAATATTTATAAGTCAAAATGACAGTTTTTAAAAAAAATTGTTATACAAAGTTTATTTTAAATTAAATGTGTAGTTGGACAATCGAAATAATTAATGTTTCGCTAGATTGCAACTTATTTTTATCACTGTATGAGAAAACGATTCAATTTCTACATCTATACATGGTGTAAATTATTGAAAATAAAAAAGTTTATTTTTAAGATTTTAAAACTCCATTGACCCCTTAAGCTGAAACTCAACAATTCATAATAAAAGGAATTTTCTTTGTTTAACTTAAAGAAAAAAATTTGATGTCACTATGTAGTGACGCAGTCGTTTAAGTAGTTTTAAATTAACTTTTTATACTTCCTCTGTTCCAAATTAGTTGCAACATTTGAATATTTTTGTAGTGGTTGATTATTGATACTGATGATTTTATGATCTTGTTTGAACATTTTGCAGAGATTTTAGGGTGCTATGCTATCAATTAACAAAATTTACTTACAAGTATTCTCTCCTTAAATCAGTACAAAATTAGTTTAAAAAATTCAGAGTTTGCATACTCTTAAGCTACACCCCATTTTGTAAGGGCTCTTCCACCAGTAATCAATTAAAACTATCTTCTAGCTCAGTGGTTACCAACTGGCGGGCCGCGGGCCGCATCTGGCCCCCGAAACCTTTTTTGTGGCCCGCGAACTAAAATATATTAGTTGTCATTTTTTTGCGGACTATTTTCGTAGAAAATCTATATGGGTTTTACATACTTATAAGCTTTATATCTTAACAATTTCATATCTGTTGCATATTAATTGTTTAATACATAGGTGCACATTAAAGTTATTTTAGCCAGAATTTTTTTATATGCAATTATTTTTAAAAATCCACTTCTTATTTTAATTTGTAATTCAATACTTTTGTTTTGTACAACTTGATAAAAATCTGATCGTAAAATATTTAATGTTCTTAACATGAAAGAGTCCTACATAAAGTTTTGATAAAGTTGCGGTCCCCGGCCTCATGTAAGTTGGAAACCCCTGCTCTAGCTAATGAATCGTGAAATCATTGGTAGTATAATTTTATTGGCGTTGATCTACTAAAATGCATCCACCTACTAGAAATGCAGCAACTAATTTGGAACAAAACTTCCGACCTAAATATAGCAACTAATTTGAGACAGAGAAAGCCTATTTTTTTAAGGAACAAATTAAATTCCAAATGTATATCTTTCTAGCGATTTTTTACGCATTGTAGCTATAAAAAATAACACCCAATGCACCCATACTCTATTCTCTAAAAATTCGAGAGAAGATGCCATGAAAAAAGTCATATAAAAGGTGCCTTAATTGTTTTATAATCGAATAAGATGCTAAAGAAAATTTATAGGCAAAGATGAATGTGCGCTTTTTATTACTCTTTATTGTGAGTTGTCCCACTAGATTTATGCCATTTATATATGTTACAGCTGCACTGATGTCAGCTGACTGTAGTTTGTAGAAAAGGTACTGACGATAAATGGGCTCACTTGTAAGATATAAGAGACGTTGTTAAGAAAAAGGCCATTTCTATGTACTATATATAAATATATACTATGTGTTCAAATGTTTTATAGTGTCCTTAACTCTATATGAATGACCAAGAATGAAAAATATCGTATTGTGACTTGAAAGACATGTTTGAAAGATGAGTATATGTTACCAAATGGTCAAGTTGATTACTTAGAACGTTTATGTTTTTTCTTAGATTTAATAATCATCAAAGATAAACATTTTTTTCTGATAACTGATTTATGAGTTTTGAAATTAGTTGAATTCCATCAAGAAAATTATTTTAAGCAATAATTTATCTTAGAGTTTGAGAGCAAAATACAGTAAGATGCTGTATTTTGCCATTGTTACATGTTATGAGTTTTTTAATATTATAAGACTCACTCCGTCAGTGTGTTTAATTCGATTTATTTTGATGCACGACTATCCTGAAAATATAACCTAATATCTAATAAAAACATATATTTGTTACAATAAATATGTTAATAAATGTTATACTTTTTTTTAAGAAAGATAAAAGATACTACTACACCTGATTTTGTTCATCATTTTTTTTATGTATATTTAGTTAATGCAGAATAAATTTCGGTTACTATTTGTTTCTAGCTTTAAAAATACAGAAAAAAATTCGAAATACCCCATAATAATTAGCTATTACTTAAAATAACTCGTAGTCGTTTTTTAAGATGTAACTCTGGTTGCATTTTGGCATCCAGAGTTTTAACAATGTATCTTTGACTTTAGCTTAAACAAGTATGCTTTAGCTAAAATAGACGACATGCTGAGCACTTAAATTCAACGTTCTGATTGTGAATTGTCACTCTTAGATTTAAAATTTGATTTTTTACTCATTAAGAGAAAAATTTGTTCTATTGTAGCTCAAAAAAGTAATTTTTTTAATTTTAGCCTAAACGTGTAACAACTTACAGCTAAAATTGTAAAATAATTTTAGAATAATATAATTTTAGAACTTAAATTTAATATTCAGAAAGGGAAGTGCCACTTTCATAGTTTTGCATTTAAAATTAGATTTTTAACGCATTAATGTCCAATGTGTAATTTTATATGTTAATAGAAAATGTCTTTCTAAGATTTGCTAAATACAAATTATTAAAAAAGTGTTGTATAGAATTAAAAATATTTTTCAAAACATCATGTAAATAAATTTTTTTATCTATTTTATAATTTAAAAAAAACTTTATTAGATTATCAAACTTCAAGGTAACAATTCTAGACGAGATCGTTAAACTATACAATTCAAATCATCGTTTTGAGTTCATTTGCGAATTCGACTGTGCTTAGCACTGCCTTATATGCAGGTAATATACACCCAAGCTTTGCAATTTCCAAATCCATTGAAAACTAATGAGTTTTGAAATGAATTTTTAAATATATGAAATCAAAATTAAATGTACGTATCTTTTACTTTCTTAATGTAAACAGTAATTTAAGATGCCTGGAGGTATGGCCTGTGATTTTTCTACGTAATATGTACTTATTCTGAGTTTCCACGGATGTTACAAATTTAAAAAGGTGGCGAAATGCAGCAAATTTATAATTCGTATGATATTTTAATACATTTTTTGCCACCATTTTTTGCTTTTAAAAAAAAATTAATGGCATATAGTATGAGAATTTTTGATTGACATATTCGAAAGATTAAAATATTATAGTATAGAAGGAATTTCCTGCTAGCAACGTAAATTTACTACCAATATTATAAATTTGAAAGATCCGTGTGAACCTTTATTAACGAATTTATGTTTCTTACTTCAAATATTTTTATTTAAGCATCTGGACACGTACTTACAGTGTTTACGCATCTGAGAGAAGAACAGTGAGTTTTCGAACTATGTGTTAAAAATTAATGACGTCAGAGTATGTTTAATGAATGTCATGTCTAAGTGTTCTGTGACGTAAGTGAAGTATCAGCCTTTTTCGATGGAGCCCAAAAAATATTGTCATTTTTTATTTGATGAAAAAAATAAGATTCTTTTTATTTGATGCCAAAGCAAATATTGCGGAGCATCGTTATATATGATTTGTAATCATTTATAAAGTATACACTTGTATTAGAGTCTAGAAGGAAGTTCCATCAAGTGTTTTCAGAGAAACTGTCCTATTTTTAAAGCAGTTGTTCGTTGTTGTTCGTGTATATTCATTGTATCCATATTGTCATCTATTGTATCAAGTCTTATATGTGATACTGAATGTTAATCTCTAGTCGAAAGACAAATGTGCTAGTTAATTTAAAAATTGTACTGCGGTCATAGGATGGACAGTAGAATCTCCAAATGTTTTAAAAGATTCGTATCGCCTTTTGATTTAAGACCAGACAACCAATACCAATTTATAAAATACCATAACGAGTTGAGTTATAGTAATTTTCATACGCTACCAGGTCAATACGACTGGAAAATTTAAATATTGGAGATTCTGCCTTCTTACTTAGAACGGCAGTATAGTTATAATAATACCTTTTAATGATACAACTTATATATTATTTGCACTATTCTAGTTTATTAATTGAGGAATTTTATTTATTACTGAGTTCCATGTTTAAGTATAGTTCGTTCACCAGGAGTTGACACTTGGCTCCACCTCCTCGGACGCAGAGTTCATTTCAGCGCGGGAGTAAGAAGAGAATTGTTGCGCGCAAAACACAAACAGTGAGTTCGCTTTATCATCTGCTATTATACCTTTCGTTTCTCTTGCTAATTAAATATATTTAAAAAACTGCTGTTTTCCCAGAAAAAATGTCTCAAAAAGGACAAAGTATTCACTCAAAAGAGAGAAATATAAAAAATTGCGCGAAATATCATTAAATTTATGAAATATTTAATGTTAAAAAAGTGCAGATAGAGTTTGCGAAATAAATATTTTTGCCATAGAGGATTGCTCACAACCTTATCCCAAAAATAGGGAGATAGTATAGTCGCATATCTCGTGATGAAGGCGGAGCCAAGTGCCAACTCCTGGTGAACGAGCTACACTTTCAAATATGTATTTCTAAGTTTGCATCAGATGTATAAAATGTGCTGAATTCTGTTGAGCGTTTGGTTTTAAAACCAGTTTATTACGAATTCAAAAGCTTTTTGAGGAGAAGTATTTAATTTATAGTATTTACATGTATAGATATAGTTCATAAGTATGTTTTTTTTATCCAAATATTTAAGTTTTTAAATATTTATAGTGTAACTAAGAGAAAACTAAGTGATTAAAGTTTTTTGCGATAGTTTTTATTACAAAAACTTTTTTAAAAAAAAATTATTTAAGAGGAAGCTGTACCACGGTAGAAACTTTTCATAGCAAATGCTGTTTCTTCTCCATTAATAGTTTCAAATTTAAAGAGCAGAGAAAAGTGAGTTCAGCTAAACTTTGAGTAAATCACGATATTTTCAAATGCTGGCAAAATATCAAAACACAAACAAAACTTATTACAGGATTACTTCCACATTACGCCATCCTGCCATAATTGTTTTGATCTTTTGAAAAAATATTTTGACTTTTAAAACTTTATGGTTTAACCTAGGTTTACCAGAATTTACTTTTTTCTATATTTAAAATTTTAAATTACTTAAGATGAAAAAGAATTAAGAATTCAATAAACGTCTAAATAAAAAAATGTTTAGGAAAAAAGTAATTCTAATTACTTTTGGAAAATTTTTTATAAAAAAAGGGGTATTTTTTTAAAAAAAATTAGTTTTTGATAAAAATTGTACGATGAAGTCAGACTTATGATTTGAAATAGGAAATAGTTTTTGAAACCAAACGCCACCAATGATTAATGTTTTAACATATGTGAAAGTTTTTAAGAAGTTGTATTAGTCTTTTCGA